ATAGACAAAATGCCTAGGTTTAATGGTTGGTGATATGAGTGTGATGCCTGGCCTGAGAAAGGCGTAGTACCTGAATATTAAGACATCTCTTAAAGGACTTTTTAGATTTTGGAGACAAAATTTATTTTTTCATTCCTCTCAGGTTTTTGATGCCTGTTTTGATTTTTGAAAGAGAAAGAATGTTTTATTCAGCTGTATTTCAGACTGTTAGAAATCCAAACTTGAACTTGAACTTCACTATTGAAGCATTCAGAAACTGAATGCTGAAAATAACCAGGCTAAACAAAACCGACTGGGAGTGCAGCAGGAAAATGTGGTTCAATCAGAGTTTAAAATTTCACTTAGTTCTGTTCATGTGTTCCGGACCAAGTAAACAGATTACGATGTGTTGCATTTTAGCTCTGGTCCGGTTCCTGTTTACACAGACTTTTTACAAACGAACCAAGAACAGTTCACTTTATTGGACAGTTTTGGCATTTGGCATCCTGCATCATTAGGACACGCATGGGGAAATCTAAATTTGGTTACTGACACAAGTTTATGCAGCACTTTAATGCGTCTGATGTGTATTTTTATGTTCTTTATGAAGAAATAACTGGTTATAAGCATTATTAGTATTATTAAACTGCAAACCAACTGCATGTGATGAGCAAGGACTAAGGTAGAGGACGATCAAAGGAGGTGTACAGTAATGATTCAGGGCTTATTACTGGGGGGTCACAGTTACATACTTTGTAATAGGGTTGATGATTGGACAAAGTACACAGTTTAGGATAGAAGCACAGCAGTTTTAACAGCTGATGACCTATTAATCAGCATGCATACGTGTTACCAAATGATTTGCATAAATAAATAGAGGGCTTACGCAGATCGAGTATAAGATCTTCTCCTGAACAGATGTCACGCTCAAGCAGATGGATTTATTAGTAGTTCAGCTTTCTGATATTCTAAAATCCTGTGGTTGGTTCATTTGCTTTTTCACAACTAACTGCTCCAGAGTCCGCTTGGAAGGGCACCAAGACCACCCAAGAAAGGTTGTTCTGTTCTTCAATTTTCTCTCTCTCTTTTTTTCCCCCAGCAAAATGAGATTAAAGATGAATTATGAATGAAAGAAATTTTCCCAGAAAATTCTACAAAATATATTTTCTCTTAAATTTTCTGTATCAAATTATATAATCCTTTTTATGTTTGAGGTAGGGTATACATTGTGCAAAACAATGCATATTTCTTTTTGTGAAGTGAATCCAGATCAGTTTTTCCTGCCTTAGATTTGAATGTCCACATATTTGTATTGTGATTTAACTGTCTCGTGATATATCTTCACATTCCTAATTGCTAGGTTCAACCTAGTCTTAGTCCTAATCAACCTAGACTTCAGTGACCGACAAAACTTAATTTTTTCACTGTTGTGAGAATATTGTTACTTACTATCTTAGGCTGTAGGTTATGAGAATGCACAGTGCACTAGTCAAGATGGTTAATTAAACTTAAGGAAGAGTTGTCCAGACGAACTCTAGTTAACATACATGACAAAAACAGCAACAGTTAAAAGTTGAGCCTTGTTTCTCTGCTCAGACTCCCCCCTCTCCCCACAAAATGTGACTTTACCACTTTATAGGAAAGTAGCTGCTAGAACGAAGCATGTAGGGAGTTTTCTGCAACAATAATCTTTTCCCAACCCTAACGCCAAACCAGTGTTGATATTAAAACACGCTGTTGTTTAAAGTTGGAATATACAGCCAGAGCAGAGGTCACACTATATCCATAACATGTCAAAACCTGTAATACAGTATATAAGTGTGTCGGTGCGTCGGCACACAAGCGAGATGTAGCAGACTGAAACTGTGTTGTAGCCCTCAGTCAGTCACGATATTGGATTCTGCTCATTCTTCTCCCGTGGGCGCTACTTCTTGTGAGATGTTAACAAGATTTTCTAATTAGTTGCCTGAAACACAGTAGAGATACCAATACTTTGTAGTTGACAGGATAGAAATAAAATGGCATGTAGGACAAACAATGCTTCATATGTGCAGCCAAGGCCATTAAGGAAAACACAAAAAAGCATCACTAACTCGGAGGGAAGCATGGTTAAGAGGCGATAAAAGCATCTTCCTTATCAGTCTCGTAGCTTTGCCAGAGGCTTTTGTAGTTGGTGGTGTGTTTTGTGTTTTTTCCATTTTCCAATTTCTCCCCTTTCATTTCTCTCCCTCTCTTTGTCTCAGTAAGCTGGTCTGCGTGGTCCAGAAGTCTGAGGCCTGTGTTGCGTCCGCCTCCGCCTTCGCTGCCGGAGATTAAAAATAATGGGCAGCACCATTAATTAAGCAACTAATCTAACTGTTTATGTTTTTTCATATGTACCGCTCACAGATGCGTAGAGAGCTCCCCCAAAAGTGACTGCTCCCACACACATTAAAATGCCTGCGCAGCACATACACATTAACAACATCAACAACCCCATACATGGCTCGACGGGCTGTCAGGGAAACTGCTTTACCTCGTTCCAGCTAAAAAAAACCAAGTCCTCCGCCTCTCTCTCCCTCTATTTTTATTTATTTATTTTTGTAAGCGGCTCAGTTAATATTGTTGATTTAAGACCTCACCTTCAATTTGGTGTAGCATGTGGACAGAGCTTTAGCTTTTGCTGCGGCTGAACCAATTTTCTGCTTCAAGCGCCTTTAATAAACCACGCAGCGCTATCAGGAGGCTTTGGCTTCCCTGATGAAGGCCATTTATTTCAAATTAAAGGAGAGTTCCTTATCTTCAGCGGCCTCAAATGGAGGGAAAGATAAAGGTGGCGCGCCTCTGTGTCGTCCTCTCTGTTGTTAATGTGATGAGAGAGAAAAGGAGGGGGGTGGGCGAGGGAGAAGAAGGAAAGGAGACAGAGTTAGAGAGAAGACAGAGACAAAAAGTGGTAGAAGACAGATTAAGCAGGCGAGATAAAGCATTGGAGGTGGTGTGGAGTGAACAGAGTAATCTGATAGTCCGTCATCTTTTTAAAATGGTCTTGTGAGAGAACACCGATGGATGCTTGGTTCCTTTTCTTTCATCTTTTTATCTCACTTCCTTCCTTTATATGTTTTTCTCTGTGCCTCTGTTCATTTTCCTCTTTAACCTCCATCACCCATGCTCAGATAAACTCAGTCATTGCATCCATGATACTGTTGATAAAGTGTCTGTGTGCCTGTGTGGATATGGATATGCTGTAATTGAAACGCTGGGGTCAGCTCTCCTCCGCGAATCAAAGCCGAAAAGAGCCTTTAATTTGGCTTTCAATTAAATCTGGTGTTAAATGCTCCCCACAGAGAAAGTGTGTATGCAGGGGCACGTGTAGAGGAGATCGACGTGTCGGCATGTAGGGAGGTGTGTGTGCGCGCAGTTGTTGCGCTTTCGTGTTACGTTGTACTACAAAGTGTGTGTGGGCGTGTACATTTGTGCATGTGCCTTTCTATACCTGCGTAGGCGTACATAACTTGCTTGTCCCTCTTCAATCAGTCAGAATCTATTACAGTGAGGCACCCAGGCAGCAAGCCTGTCATAGTTAACAATCACACAGATAGACAGGCAAAGACCAATTATAATACAGCCCACATATCATATTAAGCACGGCTGATTCAATCTCTCAAAGCACACTTTTCTGCTGTATTTGATCAGAATGATCCTACCCACTCAATTAAATGGGATTTAGCACTAATTGCATGATTTGCAACGAAGCACGTTCTATGCTCACCATAGGTTGTTAAACAGGTTGCAGTGGGTGAGGTTGTTAATTGTTTTTCATCTTTGTCTTTCTTCATTTCATCAGGCTGCTTCTTTCAAGTGAATGTTTTTTTTAAATCATTTTATTGCACTAGTTTTTTCTTCTTTTGTTCTATTGTGGCTAGGCCACACCTGATGTAAACAATACAAAACTTTTAAATACACATTACAGTGACTATTTCTTATGTGTTGACTATTTATATTCTTTTTTATTTATATATTATATTTTTTAGATATATATTTTAATAATGCCATAATAATGTTATAAATTAATGTTATGTTAGGATTGAGTGGTAGAAACCATACATACTAAAAAGTGTCACTGACAGGAAAATGGGAAACTTCAATATACTCTGGAAGGGGTACATTTGAAAAAGTCAATAAACAATCAAATCACTGAAGCAAGGCTCTTTCTAATCCAACATATGGCAGTTTTATATGACTGGCTTTACGAATAAGCTAACTTGTACTAACAAGATTTTTGTTTTTGTGTCATTTATTAAGTTTAAGCTGCAATAAGGAAAAACTGCTATAATAATGGGTCACTTGGGGGCATCCAAAACAAGTTGCGAACTGATAAAAACAAACACTTGCTTACTTGCGTCTCCAGCAGTTACGGACAGAGTCATGTTTGTTGCCACCTGTTGAGTCCAGTATTAACTCTCCTTTTAGCTCTGTTCCTGGTTGGAAATATCTGGATCCTTAGCTTTACTATGTGGGCAGATAGTGTAAAGATAGTGTAGTGTAGAGTAGATAGAGTATTTATGATGAAAACAGCTGCCTGCTGTGGCTGTAAATGGCCCTATGAGAGCAGCTAAAATGAACCAAAATAGTTGATAGCTGTGGAAAACCAAAAGAATGAGCGGAAAGTCTTCATAAAGCTCTATAGAGCTGAGGGGGAACTGCAGAGCCTCTGTGAGTTCATCACTACAAGCAACTTTCTTACGACCTTGCACATAAAAGTATGTGATCCATTCTTCATATGAAAACATTATATAGCTGCTTTTAACTGTACTTTCTGTTTGGAGCCCTTCTTTACATTCAGAATTCACTAATAGAGAATTTTAATCTTATGTGAATTTATAAGATGTGTGTGTATATATATATATATATATATATATATATCTGTAGTTAGTATGCATTCTTTTTCTGCAGGCCCAAATCTACACTGTCACTGAGAAAGAGGGGAACGAATATTACAATATAATTCCATCTTTCTGTATCTCTGTGTCTGTCTTTTGCAGCTCTCGCAACACAGACCCGGTGTGTCCTGGCCTGCAGGCTCAGATTTTATCCTGTTACAGGAGTAACAGGGACCAGACCCTAAAGTGTTCAGACCTGGCCAAAGAATACATGCAGTGTATCGATGCAGCAAAGAAGGTAAGAGCTTTTTTCAATTGTGGAATGGATAGGTTTGGGAATTTTAGGGAAGACCTGAAGGGTTATTAGGTGTCGAACAAAAGTATTATCACAAATCTCGACTATTTTGTCAGCAATTAAAAAAAAATGTATCTGGTGCCTGCTCACAGATGCGTAGAGCCCGGATGGCTCACCTGATGAAGCTGGCGCCCCGTGTACCAAGGTTGATATATATAAAAAACTTGAATCATACAATAATTGTGGAGATTGCTCACTTAAGCCGTATCAATAGCAACTCTCTGCCAAAAAAGATGTTGTTGTTAATAATAATAATAATTACAATAATGTACTTCACATTGCCCCTCAAAGAAGTTTGTGACATAACAATATAGTCTGAGTGTTGGTGTTTGAAGTTTTCCATGAAGAGATGTGTTGTTATTTTCAAAGCAGCACTGCTTCTGATGTAAAAGAAAGAAATTCATTTATTCTCGTGTTCTCAAGACTATTCTGGGGTAGTTTAGGACCAAAAAAAAATCTGATTGATAGGATTTTGAGCATTGTCACTTTAGGGTTTTACACATTGTGTCATTAGAAGCAGCTTTCAGAGTGAATGTCTGATGTAAAAGTATGAAATCCAAGTTCTGTGGCGCCACCAAACTTGTTTTCCTACTAATACTGAAAATGACACCTTCTGAAAGGCAAACACAGTTTGGGTTGCCAAGAAATAAGTAATTCAGTCGCAGTTCAGCTTGTCACTACAGCCTTCACCCTTTTGGTTCTAATTTTAGGTAGTTTACAGGCACAACATCATTTCAAGTAAGTGAGGAACGAAAAGAAGCAGTAAAACTAGACATTTTCCCAGACATTAATTACATTTTTGATGTTTTCTGAATATGACTGAAGCACATTAATATTGCCATTGATATATGTGTGTGTTCTATTAAGTTTAGAGCCAAAGAAAACATACTCAAAATCTAAAAAATAAGAATCCCGGAGAGTGGGACATTTGATTTCAAGTAAACAAGACAGGGTCGTCCAATCAGAGGCAGCAATAATGTCTGTAGGCTCATCATCAAAAATAAGATCAGTATTCTTGCTTTGTAGACTGTAAATAGGATTATATAATCTCAGGGCTTGTTTTTTCTGTTTATTTGCATTAGACTATGACATTTTTTGAGTTAAAAAAAAATTCCTCCTTTAGAGGACCAGTGTGAAGGAATTTATGCTGCATTCAGATGGATTCAGACAGACAGTAGGCTGCAGGCAGACAGCACCTTCTGGACCGCACAGGAAAAACAAACAAATAAACAAACGTCGGATAGAACTGCGGGATGGCAAAATTCAACAAAACGATATGTTGCTTACAAAAGATGGAATAAAATATATTAAATAAAATTATTTTGTATATATTATTTTATGTAATTTATTAATTATAAGCTTGTCTTCTTTTTTACTGTCCTGCTCTCGTCCACTAAAATTACATCCGATTTACCATCTGCCTCACACCATGTGAATACAGCATTAGATGTGAACGTGAAAGAACCTCTCTACAGCCAGTGTTTGGTTTGTCCGTTCTGGGCTACTGTAGAAGACATGGCTGCTCCTTCTGTAGATAAAACAGGCTCATTCTAAGGTAACAAAAACAAAGAATTCTTATTTTTAGGTGATTATACACTAATGAAAACATAACTATGAATATTATATTCCATCTCTGACAATAGATCCTAGAAATGTTACCTACTGGACTTTACCCAGTCTGTCATCATAGCAATGAGGAGGGGATACAGTACAGTATATGATGCTGTTGATATAAGCCATATTTTTCCTGTATCTCTGGTGTTACTTTAGCTGTGAAGTGAGTTTTGAAATCTAAACAGCATTACTGTTCGACCTTGTAAATGGCACAACGCAGCAATGTGAGACTGAAAATTTCAAAGCAGACCTAATGATCAATTACTCACATTAAACTTAGTGTGAGCTAGTGGAGACTGATAAATATTAACAAATCCTGGCAAAAATATGGAGCCCCTAAGCTCATCAGAAAATAGCGGAATATATCAATAATTAGTATAGTTAAATAATTTAAAAGGATTTAAAAAAGAAATATAAAGATTTATACTTTTTATTTAACCTACAATGGGTTTGTCAAATAAATGACCTTTGTTTTTCATACTCTCTTTTTATCTTCTAGCTCTTTATATTTTTAATTGTTTTCCAAAGAAGATTAAAATAAATAAAGATTTCATGTATTTTAACAACTTATTTGAAAAAAAAAAAATTCTCTTTTTTAATAAGCTGGTTGAAAGTTAAAGTATGAACTTTTATATTGAGTTTTACACCCCATTTGAATTATTTAACAAACTGTATCTGTGTATGTATTCGTTTATATTTTTTATAAAATAGTCTTATGTCAGTTATGGGGCTCCGTAGACAGAGCAGCCGACTGCATGCAATTTTACTGAGGCGATTGTGGTTTCATGCAGTTTTCTAAAGCAGTGTAAATTCAGTTGCTGTAGTTTTGCCTTTGCCTTTCCATTAGAGCTTACCTTGTCTTTGAGCAGTCAAGTCAGGTTATAAACTATGTATTCACTGTGTCAAGAGATCCTGCCTCTTGCTCTTTGTCACTTTTTGTTTTTTTTCTATCGGCAGTGAAACCCAGTTAAGAACCGCTACTTATGCATGCACTCAGTAAAATCTAGCCTTTGTACTTTGTACGTTTTCAGCTTTCCACATTCCTCAGTTGGATCTGCAGCTGTATTATTCAAAAGCAAAGACAAGTTCCTCTCCTCAAGTCTGTGCATCACTGCAGCAGTTTTAAGTTTCAAATTCACAGTAAGTTAAAGAGAAAATGTGAGGAGGAGAGGGAGGATGAGGAGAGGGAGGAGGGGGAGCTGGAGGACAGAATACTGGAAGCTTGCCCTTCCAAAGTTTGTACAGTAGAGGTATTTGAAGGTGTAGCTGCTCATCATGCACCCGAACAACGTATTCCTCTGCCTCATGCTGCTCTCTGCTCACATCTCCTCTGCGTTGCTCAGGGGCACTGAGGCTTCCCCTGGCATACAGTAATACAGCATGTGATAATCAGCTCGCTGAAACTTGATTCCTCTGCTCTTGTACTGATGTAGTGTGTGTGTGTGTGTGTGTGTGTGTGTGTGTGTGTGTGTGTGTGTGTGTGTGTGTGTGTGTGTGTATGGATGTATGGATGTATGGATGTATGGATGGATGGGGCTGCCTGTACGTGTGTGCACTTTCAATAGCATCTGTAGCTTTGTATCTTGTCTTAGACAGAAACACACTTTCATATACACACAGCTAAACCTATGTTTGTGTTCTTGTATTTCTACACTTATGAGAATCAAATGCCCTTACAAGGATGTGTGTGTGTGTGTGTGTGTGTGTGTGTGTGTGTGTGTGTGTGTGTGTGTGTGTGTGTGTGTGTGTGTGTGTGTGTGTGTGTGTGTGTGTGTGTGTGAGAGAGAGAGCATGTGCGTGTGTGAAGGTTTCTTCCTCATATTAGCTGGTGTGAGATAACGAGGAGTGAAGTGAAGACTCTTTGAAGACTGTCTTTAAAAGAGCACGGCAGATCGTACACAATATGTGTATGTATGTGTGTGTAGGTGTGTGTGTGTGTGTGTGTGTGTGAGTGGTGCGGTGCGTGAATAGCTTGCTACATTGCAGTCAGCTTTAACTTACACATCAAGGTCTTGCCTCTTGATTAGCCCCTCAGGCATCTTCGTGACTTTCACCCCGTCAATTTGAAAGTTTATAAAGTTCTTCCTCCATTTTGTGTCTTTAAAAGCTGTCACTGTTAGTTTGGTTATCACTCAACTTTTTTATTTTCCTCGTGGAGTAGACTCTGTGTAGGCTGGGAATGTACTAAATGTGCTAGATGACCTGACACAAAGAGAGAAAAAACAAACCAAAAAAAACATTGCAACCCATCTTAAAGAACTTTAACATGTTTACAGACAATCTTTTTACACATGACTAGTCTTAAGTGATGGATGCTAATTAGTACTAAAGAACTCCTCTGCCTCATGCTGTTCTCTGTTTTCTGGGCCCACTTACCCCAGCAGACTTAATTTAACCTAAATGGAATTGTCCTATTCAAACTGCTCACACTGATGCTAAGCTCAGCCATACACACACACACACACACACACACACACACACACACACACACACACACACACACACACACACACACACACACACACACACACACACACAGCCCATCTGGAGCAATTTAGGGTTCAGTATCTTGCCCAAGAACACTTTAACTTGACTGGGGTAGCCACATTAACTAATACTGAATTAATTAACTATATTGTTTTAACCACAGGATCATGGATAGACATTGATGTGACTGATTTATTATGAAGGTTTTACCTGTTGGAGGGTCACATTTGAATGTTGAGAAAAAATAAAGAGTTGCGTAAACTAAATATATAGATAAGCAGCATAATGCATGTAGCTTCCATGGTCAATGTAGCTTCAGTTGATTATAATAGACATGCTCTGCTGCGGGCATTAGGGCTGTACTGCCCCCTAATACTCAACTTAATTGTTAGTCACTGAGAAGAGTCTCAGTCAGCCCACTTTTCATTAATCGAATAGTCACAGAAAAACAAAAACAAAATTAAACTCTGTTCGGGGCTGCAATCCTATTAGCTGACTATACCTGGACTGAGAGCTCAAAGCACAAGTGGAGTTACTAGCGTAGGAGCGAGGGCCCCAGCAGGGAATACTGCGGTGCCGGAATGAGCGTGCAACTGATTTACAGCGGCTTTGAACAAACCTATTATGACACTGCGTGTGGAAACACGGCGGGTTCAGGCAGCGACAGGAGAGGCATCGAACGGAGGAAGAGGAGTAACTTTGTAGCAAGTTAATTTGTTAGTAACTGTTAACATGGAAGTTATTTATTCTGTGTTTTGAACAACAAGACTTGTGTGATGTTACACTGCGTTGAAATAAATGAACTAAATGTTCACATTCAGAGTCATTACTTCACGTTATCA